GCTGGGCAGAGAACACATGGGGCCTGAACTGTCTGTCCAACCCTGGAAACAAACTGACTGCAGTCAAGGGGACTGGAGGAATCAAAAGTCAGTCGGAGCTCTCTCACCACACCTTTCTCAAGAATCCTCCCTATAAGAGGGAGACTGTAGACAAGACTGAGTCAACTAGGTACATCCCTCAGCACACCATGAAATTGCAACCACTTCTGGGATACGACTCAGCAACTGTTCACCAGTGAACAGGAAGTTAGTGCAAGAATTACCATGTTAGTCTGCAACTACATGGAGGAAGTAAGAAGGGCAGAGGGGAATCACACCCAGCAGAGTTTGGCCAAGACAAGAAATAGCCACTTCCTTCTGCTCATGAAAAAAGTGCCATGAGAAGCAACCAGAATGTCTGTTTGAAATTTCATTCAAAGGGCAGCAGTATGCCCCAAACCATCTTACCTTGCAATGGATGATATAGAACATTCCAGTGAGCCACCTCATCTAGGCTAGGGACAGAAGTGCACATAAACTGTTAAACTGATCAGAAACTGGCTTAAACCTGTAACAGAAAATAAGTTCAGTGCACATAAACCAGTTTCAAAATGGCTGAAACCAGTTTGAGATAACGTGGTTGAATGTAGCATCAGATTTAACTGACTGAGGTCAAACCAGTTTGTGGAACTTGTGTCCCGGATCCATTCCTGGTTTAAATTAAATCAGAGTCCTCCAGCATCCCAGCATGCTCAGCAATCTTGGGCTGGGCTGTCTATTCCAGCCAAGCAGGGTTGGCCCCGCCCTTCTCCTCCCTAGCTGGAAAACTATCATTGCTCCGGCTGCCTGAGAAAAGGGTGGGGGTGGGAAACCCTGCTCTGGAGTGGTGCCAGGTCTGCCTGGCAGGGGGGCAGCAGCCCTTACCAAGCGTCCTCAGCCCCCAGCCCCACCCAACCCCACTGCCCCAGTGGCAGAAGTAGGGTTGGGGCCAGACCCTGATAGCCTGAGAGGAAGTGTGGGTTTAATCTCTCCATTATGGGGTGGGACAGCGCAGGCACGTACAAGCTACACTTGTGCACTCGGGGCTGCAGCAGCCAGACGCCAGTAGCCTGAGGGGAAGGGCAGGAGTTTAATCCCCCCATTGCAGGCAGCAACACCCTGGGCCGAGTCCATCCGAGGAGTGGCCAGCTGACCACAGGGAGGGGGTGGGGATGCGAGGTGCTTCACCTCTGCTCGCTGCAATGCGTTTGCTCTGCCATCACTGCCAGGAGTCAGAGGGGAGCAGGGAGCCACACTGCAGCTGCAGCCTACCTGCAAATTGCGGCCCCCATGCAGGGCTGGAGGCAGCCAGCACTGGCACCCACCCCCTGGGGCCACCCCAGCCCAGGCTGTGCTGCCACAGCGGGAGGCACAGGTTAGTCAGGCTGCATAACCAGCCTCGGCTCCCCGCCCCCCCTACAGCCAGGTCACATCCCCCCTCCCTTGCCCTCTCCCCGGCCGCTCCTTGGAGTGACTCGGCTCTGGGTGCTGTGTTGGTGCCCCCACTGCTGCTGCCTGCAACGAGGAGATTAAGCCTCCTGGAGATTAAAGCTACTGGTGTCTGGCTGCTGCAGCCCCAGGTACATGGCCCCGGGTGCACAAGCAAAACCTGTCGGTGCCCACACAGACCCCTCCCCCCCTGCAATGGGGGGGTTAAACCCCCACTTCCCCTCAGGCTACCGGAGTCCCCGCTCCTACCGCAAGCCAGCGAGTGGGGCTGGGGGACTGGGGACCCCTGACAGGGGCTGCTTTCCCCCTCCCACTCCAGGCAGACCCCAGCAGGGGTCCCTGCAGGCCAAGGTGGGGTTTTAAACCCCTCCCCAATCATACTCAGGGCTGCCTGGGCTTGGCCATGCCCCTTCCCTCAGCTTAGTTTCCCTCCAGCCACGGGCTCGCTCTACCGCCCCCTGGCTTCTGACCTGAGCCACTGCAGGCATGTGCCTGCATTTCCGGAGTCAGAAGTAAATATCTGTTCACTTGCAAATCAGTTCAATCTACACAAGTTGGAGCAAACTGCAAATATTGAATCAATTCAGGCTCCAGCTTTTTGAATGTCTGTCCCCAGCCCTATATTCTCCATTGAAATCTCTCCCACAAAGACAGACCAATTTTGCCCATGACCTGCGATTTCATCCCTCACAAAATAACGCCAAGCCCTCAGGTCTGTCCTTTTGCCTGGGGTTTTCACCAAGGGCATATAATCACTTGCTCTAAACAGGGATTTCAATACCAAAGCAATGATCTTAAACCCAAGGGACTTCCACTCTTCACCATGTATTAGGTCAGCCTCACAGCAGCAGCAGCTTGGTATTTAACATATGGATCCTCACAAACCCCCCAGAAGGTAAGAGCAGTGCCACCATCTCAATTTTGCAAATGGAGAATGGAAACAGAGAGATTAAACAACGTGGCCAGAGTCACACCAAAAATCTACATCAAGGCAGAACCTTGGGCCCAGCGGCTCCCATGTCCTAGGTGACCACCTCCACCACTAGACTTTTCCATGCTCTGCCTGCCTTCAGCCTAAGCAGGACTCCATCCCTGAGGCTTCACCCCGGACAAAGCACCAATCTCTGAGCACAATGCCTGCCTCATTCTGGACTATAAAATCCAAAAGGGGAAGGGCCCCTTCCTCTCCACCCCCCACCCCCAACTGTGCTGATATCACCTTACAAGCAACCCTCTCTGAGCATGAAGATCTGCTTTCATTCACATGACATAAACTGGCTGCAGAGGGTTTTCCTCTGGGCCGGACTTATCAGCTCAGAACCAGCTGGATACAGACAGGAAATCAGCAGGAAAAGTAAAGTCTACCTCAGAACTTCACTCCCACCTCATATTGACTGCACAACACTATACTTCCTTCCTGCTTGGCGGGGCTCCAGGGACCAAGACATTCAAAGGCAGGTTAACAAGAACCGGCCAGAGCTGACGCTGCCTGCTTCAGCTTGTTTTATTTATTTTTTTAAGGAGTACATCTATCCAGCTCTCCTTGGACACAGACTGGCTGCTTTGTTTAGTGCTGTTGTTCCCCCGGTATTGGGGGCACTTTGATGTATGCACTGAAAGGCTGTGTAGTTTCACTGGAGCTTCTGAACCCAGCTTCATAATCACCAGCCAAAAAGCAAGTTCTTCCCACACAGTAAATCCTTAACAAATCACAACCAAGATCTCTTCCTGCCTCCTAGAGCGACAATGCACTTAGGGTAGGGATTATTTCTCTTCTCTCTAGATGGGGAAATGCATCATTAACAAGCTTGCTGTCCTCACAGGACACTGGCTTTATCTGCAGAGACAAGCGCTTCCTCCTCTTGCCCTACATCCTTTCCATCACAAAGGGCGACCCTTTAGGAAACATGTATGGTGGTGTCCCAGGATACAGGTCTTCATGTCCTCCAGACTCTACATCAGGTGTTAGAGCTTGCCAGGCTATTTCAACATGAATAAAACAGATCCGTTCAGTATCGTGCTGACCCAGAAGGAGCAGGCTGGCTCCACCCTGTAAATCCAAGCCCAGACTCTGGCTCCCCAGTTCATACCTCTCAGAAGTTAGAGTGAGGGAAGGAAAAGTCACAGATGCAGACATTTTCCCTCTTAGAAGTTTGCAAATCCAATATCAGAGCTCTGATGTGAAGTATAGGTAAGAAAAAAGGACTTACATGAAGGGAGAACAATTGCTGCACAGACACAAAAGGTCCAGCCCTAGAGACCTATGGACATTATCAGCAGGTCTGCCTACAGGTTGGCAGAAGAGCAATAATGGTAGAGATGACATGAAACATCCTTCTTAAAGACCACTTGGGCATTTCCAGCAACATGGTCACATGACTGAGAGCAGACAAAACTGATTGGTTTCACACTGTTACCGACTTGACAGAAAACTCAAGACAAACTGCCAAGGCGCAAAGCACGACACTGTCTGCCAGGGAATTTCTCCCCTACTCTATGCTGGCAAGACCCAGATGCTGTGAAGCAGGGAGGAGACTCACTGGGACTTGCAGCAGCAGGCAAAAGACAGAAACGCAACACACATCACACAGTTGCCAGAGCAAATGCTTTCAAAGTGAAGCGCAAGCTGCTACTCCCAAAAGCTGGGGTCTCCAGACAGAGGCAAGCAAGTCCAGTCACCCTACAAGCTGAGAAGCTATACAAAGCAAGCATAAATCAAAGGCTGAAATATTATTAGCACAGAACACGGCAGCCTTCATAGCCAAAGCTCCCAGGGCAGCGCATTGTTACATACTTTTGACATACCTCTCAACCTGCGGGAAACTAAATGCAGGACACCAGCCCTCTAATAGGAAGAAAATTTCCTAATTGTAAGTGGCTGGCAGGGAAGAGATGGAGGATGTACAGCAATTAGCCTGCAGTTAGATTTCGTGATTCACAGGAGCAGAAGTGGAGAACTGGTGACGAATGGGCCAAGTTCCCCTTCAAAGCAATGGTCTCTGAAGCCTATATGTTTTTTTGGCGTGAGGTATTTTTGCCTCTCCCCCTCTTTCTTTCTTTTAAAGCCATTAGCTTGAAAATAGCATCTCTCATTCTCCTGAGTTGGCAGACTCTGGTTGCTTATCCCCACCAACCTGAAATCATAATCCTCCATTCGTGATACCATAATCACTTCTATAGCAACCAGTTGGGAGGTCACAAAGAAATGGGGTCATATGGGACCAGAACAAGGCAGATGCTGAATAGAATGGAAAGCTGTCTTATGCAGGCAGCTTTACCATTAAATGGAGGGGGAAATTTGGGAGAGCCACACAGATAGGTTTTCTCAAGACACAAGCTCCTTGATATAAAGGATAAATCCTGACTCATTGACCCCAATGAGAATTAAACTATAGATCTCAATAGGACCAGGATCTAGCCCTTCAAAAGAGATGGTCCAGCATGGCCCTAAGTAATTTAGCCCCTAAGGGGACTTGTCCTGTGTTCAGGGCGCAGCTGAGAGGTATGTGATCAGGCTCCTTCCCCTTTCTTACCTTCGTGCCCGGTGATGCAAGTGCTGATGCTGCCGTGTTATAAGGGCACTTTCCCAAACAGGGCCACTGTGGCTACTCCTATACCAGCCTGCAGCCGGGTGCCCCGGGTAGGGTGGGCTAGTGAAGCCATGGTCCGACTCCGTCTCTGCGGCCAGCGACGAGGCAGAGCTCCCCATGGCTCCCCCCTACCCAGGCCCACGCAGAGGCTTATCCTAGGTTAGGTCCAAGCCAGCAGGGCCAATGGCGCAGGCAGTCGGGCGAGGCACTGCGGCATGGACTGGTGTAAAGATCCCAACACTGAAGAAAGGGAAGCCGGTTCTGATCAAAAGGGTGGAAAAAAACAAAAAAGAGAAAGAAAGAAAAGGAAAAAGGGGAAGAGAAAGAAACAAGGTATGATTTAAGCCAGCAACACTATGGTTCTAGAAGCTTGTTAATGAACTCTCTAGGCAGGACCCAGTTCCAGCATCTACTGAGATGGGAAAGGCTGTTTTACTAAAGTAGTTCATTATAGTGTAGATGTGGGGGATGCAGGAAGGTTTGAGAGAGGCATCTTCCAGTTAAATACCACATACCAACAGAGCCAAACTTAGGGTGCAATGGTCAGTGCCTGCTGCTTCCTATTCACTTCTTCCCAATCTGTCAGTGGAGGAGAGCCAAGCACAAGCCTTTATGCTGGGCTCTTACTGCAGGTAAAGTAGGATAAGGGGAAAATGTAGAATCCCAGCCACAAAGCCTGAAGCACCAGCACTTGGGAAGCACTAGCACAGAAGGGTTATTCTGAAAGCTCCAGGAGCTAATTAAAAATCCGGCATGCCAATTAAATCAGCCAGGGAATATATAACTTGCCTGTCTATCTGAAGTAAAAAGGTTTGTTTTTTCTTTTAAATAGAATAACTTTTGGGGGGCTGAAGGGAGCTGGTCCTTACCATCATGATGGTTAAGAGGAAATTGAGTAGATTTTGTGCTGCCTAGTCAGTTCTTGGGCCATTTTGTACAGTGAAATTAAACAGAAGATACATACTCTTTTACAGCTATCACAGATTTCTAAGAAAGATTCAGCAACATTTTATTTTCTTCCACTTTCAAAAAAAGACTTTACAATCTGGGTATGGGTCAGAAAGAAAAGGATCATGGGAACATTTAACAGAGTGAAAAAGAAGAAACAAGGAGGAAAAAAACTTAGCCCAGCTGAGCTTATTCAATTACCCACCAGGATTCGTTAAAATGAACAAATTGTAGAAAGACTTCATGAAGAAGCTACTTAGTGCAGTAAAAGCACTGAAACAAAGACTCTAAAATACCATTTTTCAATCCCAGGATTGTTCCAGGGAATCAAGAAAGGCCTTGGTAGAAAGCAGACCCCAGAACACTGAACCTTGTCTGACAGGTGCAGTTTGGCTAGGAGCTTAGCACCGCCATGCCAGCATTAGTTATTAAACAGACATTATTAACTACTTTTTAAATGGTTTCTTCTTTAATTCCCTCTGGTCAGTAACGATTGGTTCAGGATCCTGAGAATACCATTACTTTCTCCTCCTAGATTGTGTCTCCTTAACTGGCCAAGGTGGACTCAGTGTATTAGCACTACCAGAGACAGCACAGCTCTATTCTGCTGCTGCTGCTGCTGCACAGCCAACATGAGGACCTCATTGATTTTTGTGGCTCTGCCAAAAAAAAGCAGTCCCTTGCTTTTTCTCCCCTTTACTGTCATCCAAGTAGCTAATTGGTAAGAAAACAGATTTTCCCTGCTAATAGGAGAAACTGGAATTAAAAAAAAAAAAAGCATATCCATTTACTGGCCAAACACACAATCTATGATCATCTTAATTTAAAAGATAGATCATGTCTCATCTGACCTATTTACAACCAGCAGAACCCTAACTTTCTGTCTCAGTCCTAGATGCCAGTAATTTCCAATCTCAGGCACTATCAGTTTCAAAAGCTCAGCAGGCAAAAGATTAAGAAGTGCTTTTCGTATGATTTACGTATCATAAGCAGGCTGCACTTCTGTCCCAAGACCCAAACAGCCAAAAAGGAAACCAAGCTCAGAGGGAGCAGACAAGGTGACACCAAATTAGGAGTCAAGTATAGGCTAGAAAAAGGAACTTTGCAACATGAAACACCTTTGCAAGAGCTGAGCAACTGGATAAAGCGAGTCAGCTGCATTGGTGACCATTTCCTCAACTATCTAGCCCAAGATGACAACCCAAAGGCCAATCTTCTTCCTCTTCCTACATGAACATCCCAGTTTTAGCTCCTGGGCTTTTACTAGGTGACAGAGAAGTGGGCCATTCGGATGACTGTTGGCATCTAACATGTGGCCCCTGCCTTGTCCCTTCCCCCAGCCCTCCAGGTCTGTACTGTAACAAGAAGTATGATTGATCAGGCACCCAGAATGCAAATGTATTTCAGGAAACAGAAGATGGGAATCCGGCTGCTCGGTAAACCTCTGTGGTGGGTGGAGTTGGGTACAGGAAGGGATCTATAAATAGGTGCAGGATAACCTCCCTAAGCTGGAGCTGTCTCACACCACTTGGTCTAACTGGGCTACTTTCCTGTCAGTGCTTTGTGCAATCAGATTGCTCTGGGCAAAGTGTTAAAATAAATTCCTTTGGCTTTGAGCTGGCTCCCTCTACACTAGGAAGGGGCCCTGGAAACAACGGCTCAGGGAAACCCATGATTCAAAAGAGGGGGGGCGGGGAATCTGTGCACAAGTAAGAGCAGGACTGCCCGAGGCGTGAGGGTTGCAGCTCTGCGCCCAGCGTGTCTGGCTGCAGCAGCGCGGGGTGAGGCACGAGCCGGCCCCCTGCCAAGGCTACATGTCGGGCTGAGCCGGCGGGGGGGGAGCCGCGAGCCGGCCCCCTGCCAAGCCTACATGACACAACTGAGGGAGGGCAGGGTCTAGGGGCTGCTTCCCCACCGCTCGGGGGGGGGTTGAGGGGATTCATTTACAGCAGGACGCTGCCGGGGATGCAAAGGGCTAAACTAAGGAGCAGGCTGAAGGGGCCGGTGCTCGGAGGGTTGTGAAATTCCTGGAGGAGAGCCGCCACCCTGCCC